TCTTCAGGAGAAGAGCCTTGATAACCTCGTATTTGCCGAGGCGTGGGGGTGCTGCGATGAAACCCACTAAGCTGGCTGAAGCAGAAACCCCCAGCGAAGCCACCACGTGGTAATATCTCAGCTCTTCGTCGTGGAGATGCTTGCAAGCAAAGTGAGCCTCCACGTGTGCAAACCATGCCTCCGCGGCATGCTCCCAAAACTCCGGCAGCTTAACGAAAACATCTCTTTCAGCCATGTTCAAATTTTTTTCGGAAACTATCTCCGAAAATGCAGGGTCACCAGTGTAGTGCCGGTAAGAAGGAGTCGGAGGCGGAGTATTTAAGATGGATTTCCACTCTTTATTTTCCATCAAGCCATAGAGATATCACACATGTACTCAGTGATGAGAGTCAAGTTAGAGTGCCTTGCTAGCTCTAGCTTGGCAACCTAAATACCCGGTGTTACACTAAACAAGGTCCGTGTAGGAACTGTAACCCAAAAGTGAATTATGGTTAACTAGAGTCACCACAGTCTCTACTTTAAAGAGTTCTCTCCTGCTGATGTTCAGGTGCATTTCAGTATGTAGTTTCTCTACTTTAAAGAGTTCCCCCTGCTGATGTTCAGGTGTATATCAGTATGTAGTGTCTCTACTTTAAAGAGTCCTCTCCTGCTGATGTTCAGGTGTATATCAGTATGTAGTATCTCTACTTTAAAAAGTCCTCTCCTGCTGATGTTCAGGTGTATATCAGTATGTATTGTCTCCACTTTAAAGAGTCCTCTGCTGCTGCTTCTTTATTTCTCTTCTGAGAACTGAAGGAGAAGTGTTTCTGTGAGAATGTGGTTAACAGCAGCAGCAGAGCTCTGGAGGTTTTACCCTCTGCAAGGTAAGAGCAAAAAGCAGAACCATGCAGAGTGGTGTACATGTAGTCATATAGAATATATATATTTTATAACAGCAGGAGGTGGATATCAATATGCTTTAATGTTCAAATTATGAATATGCAGGGATAACAAAAGGCAGTGTTGTTGATCAGTGGAGTCACTAGTGAAACTGTACTTTAAGAACACACCGGATGTAGGAAAAACCATACAAATAAATATCTGCACTCTTGAAAGGCTAATATAGATCACTGTATTAAAATACAGAACAATCAAATGTAGGCTACTGAAGAAAAAGCAATACTCCATTGAATTATATTAAAGAAAAAACAGTAATAAAGAATCCAGAATCGACTTTACAAAACCTTCATTATGCCCACACTGTAGTATCAGTGCTGATGCTGGTGAAAGTACACGTTATGCTAATAATAAGATATTTTATGAATAATGACAGAGAGCAGTGGGAAAGACAGGTTTTATACACACACTGAACTCATCACATCAACAGAGAGAGGGCAGGCACAAACTCAAGGGGAGGGAGAAAGAGGGCGGGGCAAACATTCACAAAAAGGCGGGAAAACACAAAGACAGGAAGTGGAACCAGAGATGACACACGGACAGTGTTTTTACAAAATAAAACAGGAAATACAAAAAGCAAGATCACGATAAAGACTCTGTTGTTAGGAACCTCAGAACACAGTTTAGAATTAAGATTAACATTTCTTTATTTGCAGAATATATTGTTATCAGAAGAGATGACCATTACTTAAGGCTGAAAAACCATTCAAACACATTCTCTTTAAAACACATGTGTTAACAGCAAAGCTAAATGAAAGCGGATTAAAAGGTTTATTCAGCACACATCTATATATTAAAATGAGCTAAAGCTTTTGCACCTTCAAAAACAAGCAGTGCATCTTAAAATCAGCTCTGAAAAGTTCAGCTGGAAGACAATGTGAGGAAGTTAACAAGAGTTAAAAGCCATTTACTCAGCTGCTGAATAACTGAAGACTGAAAATGAAATAATGCGTGATTGTATAAATTTCATTTCCTGATGTGAAACACGACGATGGATGTAGACGTTGTTGATCAGTGGAGTCTGATGGAGGCAGAAGTGTTGCTCAATCTCCATCAGGAGGTCCGATGTTTTCATAGTTCACTGTACCATCATCTACATCATAACGCACCTGAGGAAAACAACAACAAGAACAACAACAACACTGAGTTGGTTACAAAGGATTTCAAAGTAAAGCACCGTTTATAGTTGAGTCAGCAGACCCTGAACGCACCATCAGTTTCCGTCTGATCTGATTTAATCTACTGACTTCTGCACAGTTTGCTTTGAAACTAGACTTCTTTCTGCTCATTATTCACAGAAACATGGACGTTATTTCAAAACTATCAGCATTGCTTAGGCAAGGCAAGGAAAGTTCATACAGCACATTTCAACACAAGGCCTTTTTTATTTCTTTTTTCTGTTATTTTCCTTAATGAACTGTTTTGCTTTTCTGAGATCATTTAATTTGGATACATAATTATTCTAAATTAATCTTGTGTTGCATCTTCTTCGTCTCATATATCCACTGTTAAAGTTGGATAACAAATAATACACACATTTAATTATTCAATGTTCAAACTCACCATGTTTTCTTCCGTCTGTGCTTTGCTCCCTGAAAAAAGGACAAAACAAGTTGATATTAGATTTCACCTTTATTCATATTGTTTTCATTTGACCTGTGAATGATCTCACCTTTAGCCCTTATCCATATGTTGACTGTAACCACGGTGATGATGAGAGCCGCTAACCCCACAGACACCAGGATGAGCCTCAAGAGACCTGGAGAGAGAAGTTAGAAGAATTAGATATACTCTCTAAAATGTGAATGAACAAAATGTCTCTTGGCTGTTTAATGCTTCCTCGTCACCTTCACACAGAGACACACAGAACAAACAGATACAAACACAACTTATTATAATCCACACAGTTCTTCTTTTTCTGCATCCTCACCTTAATGAATAAAATAACAACAAGCTGTACAGTTATAAAAACAAATGTAAACATCTCACATCACGACATAAAGATGTGACGCATCAGGATGAATGATTTGAAACATCATGTTCTCCCCTGAGGACTGAAGAGAAACAGCTGAGGTTCTGTGACCATCAGACACTTTACAAGTAAATCAAGTTAACCTTACCTGAGTTTAAGTTGTTTTTAGTTGTTGCTGGTTTTGTGTCCTCGCCTAAACAAAAATAAACCAACTCAACAAACTATTTAGTCTGCAACTTCTGTAAAACACACACATATTTAAGGGGACTATTTCGTGTCAGATTGAAGTAAAATTAAACATTCTCATCATGTTCTCACCTGAGGACTGAGGGCTGAAGGGAAACTGATGAACTTCTCCTGTGTAACCATTAGTTACTTCCACAAGTAAATAACTCAGACCTGATGTGTAACTAAGGAGAAGTCAGAAATGTCACAGAGGCAGCAGGAGCTGTGATGTCTTTATATCTCTGCTGAATTTTATCCACATCTCGACCCTGAGCAGCCACCTTCACTGAGGTCTACCAGCCTGCTATATGTCTCCACAGAGCAGTCTAACGTCACCTCATCAGGGTGCTCCTGGTGTTCAGTCACTGAAGATGGAGAGTATTGAGGAGAGAAAGACCTTCAAAGAGTAACATCTAAACTCCTCACTGAATATTATTATAGTAATGTTTCAGGTATATTGCTCTATGAGCAGTTTGAAACATCATGATGTTAATACTTCACTGGAACAACAGACCGATCAACAATGAGAGTTTGCGACCTTGTGTTCTCCTTGATCTGAACTGGGTGCAGAGGTAACCTCCAGCATCCTCCTCTGTTGACTTCTTTATAACCAGGAGAACATTCTCTCTGTAACTCCAGTCTGTCTGATTTAGCTTTGGCTGCTTTGTGAATCTGAACCGGTCCTTCAAACCAGGCCTCACTGAACCCTCCTGAATCAAGAAGATCCAGGTAGATTTTCTCACACTTATCACTGGATTCATGTATGTCACATTGTCACAGGCAAAGTGACTTCATCTCGGCTCTTGACGTGGGGAAGGAAATTTTCCATCTGCAGCTGTTAAGAAAAACAAAAGACATGAATTAGCAACTGGTAGATTTCGATTTCATTTCATGTCAAAACCTTATTTAGTGCAGGTGAATTCCCCATTGAGATCATGTGCTCTCTTTTTTCAAAGGGAGACCTGCTCTCAAGTAGGTTCCAGCATGAAGACAGGAAATAGTAGTAGTAGTAGTATTCCACGTTATCGAAGGATTGTAGATTGGAAGAAGTTTGAAAAATGTAATCTCTGTGGAGAGTTTGGTTTCTGAGAGTTCACTAAAGTCACCACGTTACAAAACACCAACTCATAATTTCCTCCAGTTAAAAGGAACAGGTACGTAAGTAAAAGCACCGTTAATGATATTAAAGCTGTTTTATTTAAAGTGGTGTCCTCTGGGCATCCTCACCTGGGAAAAAGTGCTGGAGGCAGGCAGCATTCAAGGAATGGAAGACATCATGATTCCTTTCTGAATCCGACGCATCGTGGCTTCCTCTGCGCGGTCTCTGGCTCTTCGACTGTCAGCAGTCTCTCCCCGGCTGCTTTTCTTTAACCAAGAACTCAGTACCAGATGGATACAAGCAGATAAGGGAAAAGAGGGGACGGTTGAACGTGGGAGGATGTTTTTTCTGGTTCCTCATTTCACCCTAGTGGTTTTTCTTCAGAGAACTGAAGGAGAAGTGTTTCTGTGAGAATGAGGTTTAACACCAGCAGCCAGCAGCTCTGGAGGTTTTACCCTCTGATGCTCGACCCAAGATAAGGTAAGATCAAAAAGCAGAACCGTGCAGAGTGACGGCCCGGTCCAAACACAGGCAGGAAAAAAATCTTTCAAAAGCTTCGCCCATTCACCATTGAATGGGGTGACGTAGGAAGATTTTTTAATCTTCGCTGACACTGTTGTGGGGAGCGGAGGCATGGCTTTGCAAAACATCGTCGAGCACTTTTTGATGCCTCACCGATACTTTCGAAGCTGGCATCAGCCATCAAATCCCGTTTATAGGCAATCCCGCAGTACAAGGCGTAGCCAATCAAAACCGCGTGCCAGCTGGGGGGAGGCCAGACCGCAGTTCATTTCCTCATATTTCCAAACGAGAAATTACGGTACCAATCACCCGGGTTCTTTACGACCAGTAACTATTGTACCGGGATACAAACCGGAGGAAACCAGGCATGGAGGAGGTGGCAGAGACAGTGGGTGAAACTGGTTAGGTTTTCGCCTGGTTTGGAGAGTTTATATCCAGTTTACTATCGTTTTACATTGGCTTTGCTTTGTATGTCGGGGGGCGGGAGATTCATTGTGGATCTGGTTGTGGTCGCGTTGCTCGCAAAAAATCGCCAAGCTCAGACACCCGCGCCAGCTTCAAAGATTTTTCAAGATTTTTTCATGCCTGTGTGTGGACGGGCCGTTATACACACAAAGTAATGAAATATATTCTAAAACATAAAAATGATACAGCAGGAGGTGGATATCAATACACCTTAATATATAAAATGGATATGCAGCGATAACAAAAGGCAGTGTTGGCTGATTCAGTGGAGTCATTACTTGTCAACCCGTCTCCGATTTCATTGCCCTCTCCGGTTTCCTCCCGGAGGTCATTATTTCTCGCCGCATTTCTCCCGATTTCTGACCAAAAATCAGATTTACACACGACTGGTTTCCATCAGACTTTCTACAGCTCCACCATTGTTTGGTTTCCATGGTACCACGTCTCTGTTAGTATGCGCGCGGCAACTGCAAAGTACTGAGAGGGTGAGGCAGATATTCACCAGAAAACAGAACCAAGAAATCGCAACTACTTCTACTCTCTGCTCACTCCTTTCCTGCTAAATACAGGTCCAGCCCACACATATGCTCCATCGCAAG